CGAATGCAAGATCCTCGACTTCCTCGATTACATCCCTAAGCTTCATAAAGAACCAACGCATTGACAGATCATTCTCGATATCGACTATGCCGAATGCAAGTGGGTAAATCCGGATGTTGGGATCTTGACATGTAGCAATAATTAGCTTGCCCTCGTATCTCGATTTTAGAGTTCTACCGTCGACTAAAATTACGGGTAGCATCACATTTTTAAATCCTCTAATACATTGTCCAAGAGTCATGAATAAATACTTAAACCAATTCTCGCCCTCCGTCTCAATGAAAAAATGGAACCGTGATTAGTTGTCCCCAAATTATAACAGTATCTGGCCAATTTAGCATAACGTTCCTCAGTCGAGCCCGCATTCTTTAGCCTTCTAGGCCTTCTGGTAGCTCACGACCACTTCGTACTCTCGTCAGATGTCGTTAATGATGTCTGAAGGTTTGAAGATCGTCTGTGGGTCTTGATATTTGTGCATTATCTGTCGACCAATAAACCATGATCAAGCTCGTCTGTGATCGTTTTGACAAATCCCCAATTCGCAAGTATGTTCCCGTATATACTTGCGAACTATAAAATACTCATTTGTATCTATCTTAGTCGCTCGCAACCGCCAACTGCATCTATCGTCAACGTAAACAAGTGTCGACAAGGATTTGTTTGATTTCTTTACCTTGAACTCAAAGTTGAATTTCAATGCCAGCAGGTGCACAGCTTCCTACAAATCTTTATTCGTTTCAAACAGTTGCTCAACATGTAGATCTTCATCATCGCGAACCACACGTGAAGAATTAGATGAAGGTTTGTTCGTTCCGGCCCCTGAGCTCCCTCCCAGTTCATGTCTCTAACGGGATAAAGCAATTAAATCTTCATCTGTAAATTTATTTACATTATCCCTGTCCTCAATCACCGATTAAATTATGTATGTCGCAGTGATATCACAATGAAGAACAATTGTCTCGAAAATATTAGTGTCATCCTCGCGAGCTATCTTCACTGTGTCCCAAAAATTATTTGCATTATCATCAGGTCCATTCGAATGTTCATTTCTACCTTCTGCGTCGTCCTTCCTTACTAAAATCAAGAAAATTTGTGTCACTTGCATTTTGTTCAACTCAAACAGATAATTCACTTCAAAATCAGATGTAACCTTTAAAGGTGGAATTGAATATGGCAAATTCTCTCTGAATTGATATCTCAATACCATATTGTATCGAG